TTGCAGCTGGAGCACCCCACTGGGTGGCATTTGCTCCCCCCCTTTGCCAGTTGTAATGCTCAAAGGGTCCACTGGAGGGCAGTTTACTGTCACCAAATTCAGCTCTACTGTCTCATCTAATTGCAAGGCAACAGTTGCTACCTTTGAGCGTTCTGCAGGAACAGGCTGGATGAGGGAGAATAAGCCATCAGTAAGTCTAGACAAGGGGAGGACATGTCTTGGGGACTGAAGTGAATCCTGATTTCGATGGGGTTGCACTCTGCTGAGAAAGCAGGTTCCCAGTTCAATGCCCTCTGATCCTCAACTTAGGCAGTGGCTGTGGCAAGGACATGCTTGCAAAATTTCCTGAGCTGGTTAGCAATGGTTATTTGTGCCTGGGATGCGTCTTGACTATAGCAATGCGTTTTATGTCGGGGACCCTTGAAAAGCATCTGAAAATTGTGATTGGTACAAAACCTTGCAGCATGGCTGCTAATTGGGACAAGGCACAGGCACTGTAAAATGTTTGCATGGGAAGATTTGCACCGGTGTTGCCTCCCTGGCACAATTTAACGTGTTAATGCCAACGTTTAACACTCAAAGAAATCTCCCCCTCCAAACCCACCCAGTTATAATCTCCCCTGTGAAACCAGACCTGCATTTTATTCCAGCACTCAAGTATTTCAGTGGAATGACACATATAACCTATATATAATCAGTAAGTAAGTAGGCCCATGTTCTTAGCAAATCATTTCATGATGTAAGTCTTGCAGAATGATTTTAAATAGGTTCCTTATATATGTAAACTATAAGCCATTACAGAAGGTTTGCAAAGCAAAGTATGCCTTTTTTAATGTGTTTACAAAGTGTGTGTGTTGGGGGAAGACAAAATTGTCATATTATCAAATATGCTCCAAACTGTCCTATAACACCACCAATGTGTTTTAAATATCTAATTAGTAAAAAACCAGAGAATAAATCTTAAAACTGTTTTATGGATCTGGAGCACAAAAAAAACCCAAAACAGTTCCAATTTCTGAATATGGAAATAAAAAAGTGAAAAACCTGCTTTTTTCAGTCCTTCCAACCCTCATTTCCTTCAAATTGCCG